TTAACTATTTGCCGCAGTGATAAGTATACCACTAGCAATTAGTGAATACTCACTTTTTCATCCAAATCCAATAGGTTTTTTGATGAAACAACATTTTCAAAAATGACATTTAGGCAAACCTTAACTCAACTACATTATTTTTTTCGGTGTATTTGTAGTAGAAAAAGTATGGTATGCAATTCGTTTATAAACTTTTTATAAACACTCGCTCGCAATCCCGCTCGTGCCTAATTAAAATTCTTGACTTAAATGGCGTTTATCAAACTTGATACATAATATACTATTATTGTATTAGAAATTTGTTCATTTTAAATGTAAATTAAAATTTATTTGTAAATTTTGTCATAATTAATGTTTAGCTTTTTGGATTAAAGAACAATTTAATTAGTTAGTAGGTTTCTGTTTAATATTATTAATTACTTTTCGGGTTAATTAAAATTATACAAACAGAATATTCTATTGCCTATGAAATTTAATTAAACAACTGATTACTAAATAATATTAATCTAAAAAATACATGTATACAGGCTTAAGCCTAAATATATCTAGGCTTAGGCATAAAAAACACATACGCTCTTGTCCCTATGGATACGGTAAAATTCAACTTCAACCAAAGTTTAAGAAGAAATAGTACATTTTTTAACTGGCGGATAGTTTTTTATATACAACATGTTATGGTGTTAAAGAAGTATTGTGTTTTCGCAACGCGCGCGCCATCTGGTGGACTTCGATAGCATTGCGTAAATATAAGAATTGTCAACAATACATTTACAGCACAGATTATACATCATTTTTAAATAAATAGGTAGCTTTTTTATAAAAGAGAGGAAGGCAGAAGTCTTACTCGACAATTTTTTTTCAATTGCACAGCTAAATCGCGCACGTTATTTGTGTTTTACGTTGCAATGAAAAAATTAAAAAAATTTTTAGTACTCGATTTCCATTGATTATTCCTTATATTTTTGATTAGGAAACTCAACGCTTAAATGCTTATATAGTTACGTTAGTGAGTGTATTTTATCTAAGGGATCATAATGAATTATTGTGTTTTTAATTGTAAATAAAATTCAAGAACTAAATTGTTGCATTTTCATGTTTTGCCAAGGGATCGAATTCGGTAAGTACATTGGTTGGTGCGGAATTAACTAATGATAACTTTACCTAATATAATTAATATTTAAGTTTGGACATTTTTAAGAAATTAGTAAAAAATAACTTTTGCACAAACATAACCTTAAAATCAACTATTTTTATACTTGAGTTCTCTAAAAAACGCCGACAACTGCATTTTAAACAACAAAATATACCTATGAATTCATGGAAATATATTATATATAATACATAATAAAATGCTATTTTATCGTTGAGTGGAGACTTTTTTAATCAACGCTTTTAATAATGCTAAATGCTGTTTAAATTTAGACGACTTAATGTTGAAATGTTTACACTTTTCACGTTAATTACTACTAAAATGTTTATTTATTGTATTTAATAGGTACAATTTATATTTACAGAGACTGCAATTTATTTTTTCATTCAGATTAACTCTGTTTATTGGAAAACCGGTAAAAACTCAACCCAGGATTTCCTCTCGAAATACACCCAAAAACACAACAATTCGAGTCACGGTTTTTTTTTCGATATTTTCCGGCTTCATTCTCAAAAACACTCGTTTGACAGCTGATTATTAAAAGTAGTATTTTTGTTACGATGATAACAGCCGAGTGGTGGCGTACAAAATAATTATTGTAGACTTTTTATAAACAGTTAAAATATTAAAAGAAACAAATATGAGCTTCCAACACACAACATTTTATATAATCTTATTGCCCGTCACGTCGGTTTAACAAACTCTAAAATAATTCCGACTGCGCCAGTTCGTCGAAAGCTCAGTAATAGCTTTGTAATGATACTTTATGGCAGCAGCGCATGCTTTATGTTTACTTAAGGGAAAATTAAAGTGGATAATTTAAAATGCATCAGTGTGCTTTGTGCAACAATCACGCAAATGTAACAATACGTTTGCTTTTGTTTTGCAGTCGCAAGTCGAAATTAAAACAAGGTTCCTCCACTGAATAAGCAAGTGCATTATCTCGCTTAAAAAACAAACATTAATGCTGTTTTATCTTTCAACAAAGAAGGACTGATAGGGTAAAATGGTTAAAAGGTTGTATTGTGTTAGATTAGCAAAGAACAAAATATAAATATTTTTTAAGCGTAATTTTTTTATTATAAGTCTATTTATGTAAAATAATAATGTACTATTTTTCCTATATATAAATTGCAAAACAGAAATATTTTATCTTCAATCCGGCAGTAAAAATTACACAGTGGGATGAAACCAAAAGCAAATGAAAGGTAATAGCTTCTACAAAAAACCCTATTAGGTTTTTTTAGATTTTTGGACACCCTATAGTAGGAAAAAAATAAGTAAAACAATTTTAATTTTTTAAAATTATTCTGGCAATAGTCCAGGAATCCATTCCAAGAAAAGAGCATTTTTACTTGAAAATTTGGCATTTTTATAAAAAAAAAATATTCTCTTAAAATGCTTTAATCAAAAAACATGTTATTATTTTTAAATACGTAAATTTATTTATAAAACAACACTTGTATACAAAAACTACATTTTTTTGTGGTAATATATTGTAATATATCGATGGTATTTTTGCAAAAGGGAGAATACGCCATTTTCCTGTTTTGAGAAAAACAAAAAAAAAGTATTTCTGCATGACCTAAAAAAGACATATATTAAAGGTAAAATTGATTGGTTTACTATGCTCCACACGTCAAAGTCCCACCACGTAACCACGTACGAAACGCAGTCTTTTGAAAATTTGGCATTTAAGGCTTTTCAGGTTATCTATCTGTCAAAGTATAAACAACGAAAGAAATAATATTATGTTTCTAAAGATTTATAAATTTTTAACGCCTAAAGGCGTTAAAAATTTATATATCTTTATAAAATTAGAATAACAATGGATGGTTTAAGAATTTAAGAATATAAATACTGCATTTAATGAAGTTCTAAAGTATATGGTGCCAAAAAAGTAATATTTTTGTGCATTTGGTTCAAATATCTGGGTTTCTCCATAAAATAATTTTAACTAAACAGCATTTATTTAAAAAAATCTAGCTTCTCTATTATGGAATAAGAATATCTGTATTAAAGGTATACCTTTAGGTTAATATATTATAATAAAAATATCATCTAGTTTTGTAATTTTAAGGTTAGAAAAATTTATTTTGACCAAAATAAATAAGTATTTTGGATTATTTAAAAGACTATATAATATGGTATTTAAAAATGTGGTAGTTTTTCTTATCCAGCTTAAAGTGTATCTACATAAAGATTTGTCAATACAAATAGTTAAAAAACTTCGACTGAATTTGATCTACATCAAAAAATCATTATAACTTTAAAAATTTTAATAAATCACATGTCATGGGAGTATTAAATATTTTTACATTGCAAGTTTCTCTAAAAATTGTTTGTTTTCTTATAATCTAACTTAAAGTAAGTATGCCGAGAGGTATGCACAAGTTTTGTCGTTAGAAGTATAAATGCTTCAATTTAATTTGATCTATATTCAACAATTATTTAGTATACCTATATTTATTTATGACCATATTAACACACTCTTTCAAATAATCTACTTATTTATTTAAAATACAAAATTAGATGATATTTTTTGTTCTAATACATTAACCTACCTTTGATACAGATATTCTTATTTCATAATAGAGAAGTTAGTTTTTATTTAATAAATGCTGTTTAGTTAAAACTATTTTATGGAGAAATGTAGACCCAATGCATAAAAATATCACTTATATTGCACCTTACACTTTGGAATTTCATTAAATGCAGTATTTATATTCCTAAATTTTTAAACCAACCATTGTTATTGTGATACTATAAAGATTTATTAACTTTTAACGCTACTGCCAGAAGCTCCTTAAATGCTTGAAAAAAAATTATATGACCCGACAGCGAAAGCTTATTACTTGCCTCGCACACAATCTACTGCCTCGGCAGGCGATAATATGTGCTTTCTCCGCCTGGTCTATAATGTACTATTTTTCCTATAAATTGCAATACAGAAATATTTTATCTTCATTCAGGCAGTAAAAATTATTAAGACAAATAGTAAAAAAAACCGTTTGGACCAATAAAAAATTTGACAACTGTCAGATCTAACCTCAGTTTCTACTTTTAGTAATAATATATTCCTTAAAGTATTACAGAATAAATTATTCTATCATCGGATAACGGAATAAACACTGGTGGCGACATCTCTGTGTTTAATATCTAACAAATTTTACACCGATCCAACCTATTTTTCCATGGTATTTTTTGAGAACGTAGAAAAAGTATAGTCTGAAACACGTTTGGAATTGCATATTTCGCTCTCGTGAAACCGTCAAACTCGCCTTTGGTTCGTGTGACAAACTTTTCACTCGAGCGGAATATGCCGTATTTCAAACTTGTTACAGAATATTAGTTGCTTATTAGTAAAAGTAAAGGCACTACATTTTAAATAAGTTTTACTAAAAAGTGTTTATTTTGTTACAGGTAAAATTTTAACCACACCTATTGGACTTCTATACAAATGTAAGCATTGTATCACTTTTGCAAGAACAGTGTTTTTGTTCTTTTTAAATTTGGTGTTTTGTCAACAGATCCAGTTTCTTTAAATTTAGAGAGAAAAATGTTAAGGTAATCTTGGAATTCCAAAATTAGCATATTTTTCGGTTATTACTTTTAATATAAATTGGAAATAATACTTAAATAATAAAACAACATCTTAATTAAATTAATTTATTTGCTTTACTTTGTTCATAATATAAAAAATACATTATTTTATATAATATAATAATGTGTTAATAATTAATTAATAAGTAGACAATGTTAAGTTAAAAATAAAATTAAATTATAATTAAGAATAAAATGTCTTATTGTGTTTTTCCCTGTTTAAAAGTTAATACAGGATGAATGGATTTTAAACAAATTTTATTAGAAATACAATATAATCAAATAAGGAAAATTAAATTGTTTAACCTAATTTAAATATTTTAATTATAAAAAATAAACTAAAACAATTGTTTTATTTTTACTAGTAATTTATACTGTTTTCGGTTTAGTCAGTTGAAATCCTCTTGGCATGTATCCAAATGCCATCCTTAGGCGCGGAAATAAAAGATTTAGGATCCAGTTGAATTGGGACTTTGGTTCTCTTACTTAACGTTATATTGTAATTTTTTAAAATTGCCGCCATTCCTACTTTCGCTTCCATCAAAGCAAATCTCATACCTAAAAAGAAAACTTTTTTGTTATTTTAACCGAAAATACTACTTTTTATTAAATAAAGTTTGAGTTTTAAATTAAAACTTTTAATTAAATGTAAGGTAAACCACATAGTTATTGGATACTTAAGAAATATTATTTATTTAAAATTTATATATGCCGTTGTTTTAAAGATTTTAGTATTTTTCTTATAAATATATAAAAAGGATAGTTTGTTTGTTTAAACTTTATTTACCTTTACTTAAAAATAAGAATATTTGAATTTTTATTATTAGTTTTATAAAAACATGCAAAAAAATTAGTAATTGGACATTTTATATAGTAATTGGACACATAGACCATAGTTATTGGACATAAAATCTTTATATAAACATAACAACTTTACATCAAATAACATAAATTGTTAAATATTTTTTAAAGATAAATTGCTGTTTTAGGTAATTTTTAGGCGGAAACAGGATGATTTATATATATATTAATATTGTTGGTGGTATGTTAAAATTATTTTCCGAATTTATTAATTTTGTTACCATTAGTTTTTTATGTTCTCTATCATGCACTGTATTTTAATCACTGTTATTCTGCAAGATGTCCTGTGACGAAGAAATCACTATATTACTTACTCTCTAAAAATGAATTAGTCAAAAATGCCATAGCGAAAAAGCAGCCACTAATAATTCTCGTCAACAGCAATTTGTATCCAGGACATTTAGCAGTCAATTCCTATGAAATATTATTCGCTGAATCCGAAAATGCCGTCAAAAGTTATAACAGTTTTTAAAATATATTGGACATATGTCCAATAATAGAAATTTACATTTTTTACCAACCAGTAATTGGACACTGGCCGTTTTACTGTTTGTTTTTAGAATTTAGAAACGTTTAAACCATGAGGAACACAAAACAAAAATCTTACCACCAAAGTAACGACCGAACTTTTTTGTCCTATATTGGACCCAAAATATAGTAGTTCTATCATTACCGACTGAGATGTTTATAATTGTATACAGCGTCATCTAATGATTTGACTTTAAGGTAACTTTTTATAAAACTCTTGTTTTTACAGTATTAATGTTAATTGTCCAATAACTATAAAGTGTCCAATAACTGTCTGAAATTTCTATTTGACTTTTTAACATATTATCAAATACGGTTAAGTTTTACTTAGTTTATCTGAAGGATAATTTTCATTGTTTTGACAATAATCTCCATGAAACTAGAACCAGAGAAAACTGAAAACCTACCAATGCATATTCTTGGACCTTCGCCAAACGGAATATGAGCAAACTGATGACGACTTGCAGTATTTTTTGTGGAAAACCGATCCGGGTCGAATTTCTCAGGATTTTCGTAAATTTCCGGATCGTTCTGAATGGCTAGAGACGATATGGCAACCATGTCATCCTTTTCGATGACCACGTCGGTTCCAGGTACAGGGTAAGTTTTGTTGCATTTTCTGAGCAGGATCGGGACTGGGGGGTATTTTCTTAAAGTTTCTGAAATAATAATAATAATAATGTCTTTATTAATTACGTATAAAAAATACAATAATTAAAAGGCGAAGTCTAGCCAGGCTACTCCACTTAACCCTTACTTTACCTAAATCTAAATCTAACTTAACCTAATAAAATAATTAAATCTGTAAAGAAAAATAACATGCCTTAACTTCCTTGCGAAAGCGTTTTTCTGACTGAGACTAAATATTATCATCAATGGCGTTATAAATACAGGGTGCGTTATACGAAAATTATCTCGTGAAGATGGCTGATCGAAATCTTGGTAAGGATAACTTTATAGTTTATAAGTTTATATCTAATATTTAAATCGAGTAGGTTATATCTAAAAGTTAGTTTTTTACGAAGATACAAAGGCGTTGAGGATTTAAGTAAATTGTAAACAAAAACAGACAAATTATATTTAAATAAATTTTCAATTTTTAACCAACCCAAATTATTAATTTTGCTAGAACATCTGTCATATTTATGAAGGCCAAATACAAACCTGCAGCATGAATTTTGAATTTTTTGAACTCTAGTTTTGTTTATTTGGTATAACATATTGGTAGGTATATTTTTAGGTTAGGTTTTTCTAAAAACTTAACAGGACATATTTAAAAACATTATATAACTCACCATTTATAATCTGCTCCATGTAGGTCATATCCTTTATGGCTTCATAACTTAGCTCGCCATTGTGTTTTGCAGCAACCATTTCAATTTCCTTTCTGGCCTTTTCTTGAATCTCCTGATTCAAAGCCAACTCGGATAAGGCAAAAGTCATGGTGGTGGAGGTGGTTTCATAACCAGCGATAAAAAATACGAAGGACTGGGCTGTGAGCTCGTCTAGGGTTAGCGCGCTTTCTTTAGTTGACTTATTGGTGTCTTGAAGTTTGTCATCATCGCAGACCTTACCGCGGTTTTTTAGCTGGAGGAGTAAATGGAAGAAGTCTGGACGGGTGATGTTGTTTTTTTCACGATACTCGACATTTTGTTTGATTATGTTATCGAAGAAATTGGTTACGGATACGTTAAAGGAGTTGAAGTTGAAGAATTTTAAAACGCTGTGTGGTAGCGCTATTGGGGATAGAAAGCGTAGAATATTGGTGAATTCGAGGCTAAATAAACGTTTACCGTTCAAGAAAAACTCTGACTCAGGGTTTTTGATACTGTTACATTCTATTCCAAACGATACAGAACCTATTATATCAATTGAGAATCTCTGCAATATATCCTTTATGTTTAATTCTTCCCCAGTTCTTGCATATTCCTCTATCATATCGTTTAACCCTAACCCACACTCTGACAGAGTATTAAACATCATCTTCAATTTACCGCTTGTAAAAGTGGGGCTCAACTTTGCCCTTAAACTCTTCCACTTACCACCTTCCAAGTTAAAGAGATTCGTGCTCATAGTATCCGCCTTCTCATTCACATACATTCCTCTGTTAACGAAATTCCCAAAATCATTCTGCATTATACCCTTCACAATCTCCAAGTCCACTGGCACATAGAACGGCTTCATCAAAAAATACGCGCCCCCATGCTTTAAACCCTTACTTTTAAACTTAAAGTACATATCGCTGAATAACTCTCCTATGTTTTGTTGACATGTTGCCACTTTTGCTCCGTTGCCAAATGGAATGACTGTTGGTTCTGTAGCAAGACCTTTTTTTTGCCAGTAGGTGTACACCCATTTTATGTAAATCACGAAGGCTGTTATTAAGGTGACCAAGAAGATTCCCAGGTCATAGGTCAAGGTGTTGGTTATGAGCACCATTGCTCTGTAAAAGAAAATGTTGGTTAAAATACATTACAAAAAAGCCTGTACTTAACTATATGACTAATTTATAAGCAGTGGCGTATTTAGGATTTAACTCCGGGGGGGTCCAAAAAAAACTAACTAAATATGTACTATGCTCAGAGCTGCAACAATTCAGTTTTAAAAAGACTTAAATCTTAAGTCTTAAGTCAATTCTAAAATCAAAATGATTTAAATCTTAAGTCAATTCTAAGATAAAGTTCAAATGATTTAAGTATTAAGTCTTTGAATTAAATCATTTTCTTTCAAGTCAAGTCATTTTCGCAAATTCTTAAATCAATATAAAGTGATTTAAGTCATCTTATGACTTAATTCCTTTAGTAAGTCGTAAGAGTTAAGTCAATAAAATGACTTGAATCAAATATTGTGATTTAAATCAAAATAATTACACTTAAGTCAATACAACGATTTTTTAAATGTTAATAATTTTATGGTATTAATGATACTGATATTATTAATCTATTTTAGATACAGATGATAATAAACCACTATGTTAAGAATTTAAAACGATTTATTTTCAGAACATTTACAAACAAAATAAAAACTTAAAACACATTTTTTGAGTATATAGTAGACAATAAAAATAAAAACTTAAACCAACTTTTTTAGTAGAGTAGACATACAGGGAGGCTACTTTTTTATATACATAAATGGGTAACTTCTAAACGGTAATATATTCAAACTCTGTTAAAATAGATAAAAGTTAAAGCATTTTTCTTAAAATCGCTGTATTTCAAAAACTGATAACTTGTTGTTTTGTTAACTTTTGTTAGCTGGTTCAACATCCATCTAGAAAAAAAATATTCCTTCCTTAAGGGAGTAATGATGGGAAGTTCCAAACTCTCGATTCACGACCGCTCAAGATGTACGACTGCTCACGACCGCTCACGACCGATTGTTTCCACTTTGCACTAATAATCACAAATTAGACCTAACTACGCACGAATACGACGAATGTTGGCAAACAAAATAACAAAATTATAAATTCCCACTTTTTTTAATTCATTTTAGACAGGACATTTTTTAATGTAGCCGTCAAACGGTTCCGAAAAGCTAACTTTATCGCGGCGGTTTTTTTATCCACTAGCGGCTGCCGCTGTTAAAAATTTATAAAAAAAATATATGAAAAATCTGACTTACATATTTTCTAAAAAGACTTAAATCTTTTCAAAAAGACTTAAATCTTTTTTTGACTTAAATCGTTTCTATCTGACTTAAATCGTATGTACTGATTTAAGCCTTTAATTAATGACTTAAGTTTTTTCTATTTTGAAAAAAATATTTAAGTCACAAATCATTTTGAAAATTAATTTTAAGTCTTAAGTCAGTTTTAGAGAAATGACTTATTACCAAATGACTTAAGTCATTAAAACGATTTAAATCAAAAAAACGATTTAAGTTTTCTGAGAGCTTGCAGCTCTGACTGTGCTATGCTTTAATAACTAAAAAATCACAAATTAGGAACTCTTCTGATCCGATAAGATAGAAACTAAAAGGAACTTTCTAAAAAAGGAACATTTTTGTTTTGATTAAATTAAAAATCATAACGACACGAGAAAGAGGTAGGAACGATATACATACAGGGTTGCCAAACCACCTCTTTCTCTTTAATACGTAAGTAGTTGATTTTTGATTTTAATGATTTTATATTTAAATATAATTAATAAATAATAAAGTACGTTGACAGTCTTGAGGTTTTTATTTTTTTTAACTTTTTTTTGTAATAAAAATAATAAAATATGTGCGCCCGGGGGGGGTCCGGACCCGGCGGACCCCCCCCCTAAATACGCCACTGTTTAAAAGTATCTAGTGTTTTTAAACAAATTGGGCAACTTCTCTGTACATGTTAGTATGTATGTGTGAGTGTTCAAGCAATGGAATAAGTTTATACGGAAACTATCAAAACTTTCTATACCTAATTGAATTTCCGAGTCAAACTTGTCCCGGTTTAATTAAACGTATACATATATAGGTCTTTATGGTCCGGAATGCGATGTTATAGCTATTGTTAAATTTAAAGTACATACATGTGCATTTTTTGTATTGATTTTCTATTAGATATAAAATAAATTGGGTGGGTCAAAAAATCTATTTTTGCTGCACCAATGTCAAATTTTAAAAAAATGTGTAAAATTGCCCCAGTATATTCGGCGCCCCCCCCCCACAATGCAGTGCTGTTATTTACGCCACTGCTTTGTGAATTAGTTGGATTACAGACGTGTGGAACTATAACTATAATAAATAAAACAAGACGAGCTTCTAGCTGTTGTATTTTTGATAACATTGAAGATCTGAAAGATAATATCTTTCTTAGGTACTTATACGTATACTAATTAAGACCTATAGACACAGAAAATATATACCGTACCTTCATTTGCAAGCTAACCATAGGGAAAATACATTGTAACTGGACCAGATAAGTCTTAGTCAGCACGAAGCGAAAAACGTTGTAAAAATGATTTGGACGCGTGGACGAGTAGGCTAGCATGCGCCGTAACAGTTGACCTTGCTTCATACATCGATGCTATATTATTGTTTTTTATTTTGTGCGGTGTAAATCTGGTAAAATTTGTTTTAGTACGCATGTCTCGACGATGCATCCAAATCATTTCTGAAAAGATTCTCGCTTTGTGTTGACTGCGACTTATCTGATCTGGTTACAATGTATTTTCCCTATGGTTAGCTTGCAAATGAAGGTACGGTATGTATTGTATTATTTTCAGAAAATAAGACGAAATTAACATAAAATTGAGAAACATAACCTTAATTATACGATTGCATTCCTTTAAATGTTGGTGAGATTTTTTATGTGGAACATAGTACATACTTTATTGTTTTAACAATTTTTTTTTATAATATAAAAATTCAGTTATTAACTAATAGACAGTTTTATTAAAAATGTAAGAAAAATTAAATGGTAAATAAAATCTATTTTATACATCCATGGTTTTAAAAATTGAATTTTTAAATATAATATATAAATACCATATTATATTAAGAAAAAAAAACCTATTGTAAATATTTTGTTTAGATTTTTTTAAGTTTATTCTGAACAACTATTATCATGGGGTCCCTACTTACTCCACTGCAAAAGGTTAAGTTTAAAAACGTTATATTCTAAATTTCAAAATTATGTCTAAATATGTCCCCCCGTGTCCCCATTACTTCATTCAAATTTCACAAAAACATATTGAACCGTTTTCAAGATATTGCCTTGTAACACTTTAAAAAACTCACCCTGTATAATATTATTATGTCAGTTTGTAATTTGTTATTAGAAGCCATGGCAATGCTGTATAAGAAAATATTCTGTATATGAGACTTACGTTATATCAAATATTCAACGTATAAGACAGAGAGGTCTTCAAATTTGTGCAGGCATGCCTTTGTAAATAAAACCACAATTTTAAGCGTCGTGATTGGTTTAAAATAAATCCTATTAAACTCAAGGCTTTATTCTTAAACGGAATACACTATAGAATGCTTTATTTTGTGCGGACCGGAAGTGCCACAGGCGGAAATTAAATCACCGCGGATTTTCGCCTTTGAGACCCTAAAACATTTCCACAAACTTTAAGCAAAATCTAAAATATGTATGGAATGATCTAGCACACGGGACTTACTAATACATTTTAAACAAAGATATTTAAAAACCGCAGTAGATAAAAATTTAGGAAACAGACCAAGGAATCTAATTTTATTACCAAATTTAACCAGCGGCGTACAGGAAAATTGCTTTTTAACTTAAAACTACCTATCGTAAATATATGTGTATCAGGCCTGTGTCCACGGGGTTTAGTGTCTTAACTTATGTTTACTATAAATACAAAAAAAAACCTAAAAATATTTTTTTATTTCACCTAAAATTCTTAAAAATAACCAAATAAAATATACCAGGTCCAAGATACAGAGTGTTAAAATTAAAAGGACGGACAATTTTAACTTTTCATTTATACAGGGTGTTTGGTTTTACCTGGGACCACACCAACTTTCTTATTCTTAATAGGCTATTATCTCGAGTGGCCAGACGAGAGACTCAAATCCGAGTGAATAATGCGCATAATCTCGAGTGTAATACTATCCTTTATCTACTCCAATAAAAATAAAATAAATAAAATCTGACATCTGTCAAATGATTAACCTTACTTTTTACCAATTTTAAATGTTGTTATAGTCGCGTTCTCCCAATTTGAAACCCGTGAAATAATGAGTTCATATACAATAAGAGTAGATAATAGTATATTATGTATCAAGTTTAATAAACGCCATTTTATACACAAACTTAATTTTAATTAATGAGTGTATAGAAAAGTTTATAAACGAGTTGCATACTATACTTTTTCTACGACAAATACTTATTATTATCTTAAAATGATTTAAATCAAAAATTTGTATAGAGCGCCATCTATGAAACAATAGGGGAATCTGTGTGTCACCGTCAAATGTCAAATTTTTATATTATAAAGGTTATAAATCGAAATGTATTTCTTGAAAATTTACAGTTTTTCACAGTGAAAGTAAAAAAAATGTTTTATGAGCAGTTTACAGTTGAGTCCGTGCCCGAATTTATAAATGTAAGTAGTGTAAGTAGTGTAAGTTATAGTTAACTGCCGGCGAAATTAAAAGGTCAGTACAATGTTCATATAAACTTTTCAAATATTGGCGTTGAGAAACTATTTAATACTTTTGTATTTTTGTATTGAGATAATAAAATAATTTTCACATTTAGTATTATTTTACAAGAAAGGCACTTTATTTTTATTTAACGATTGTATGACATTTGACAACTGTCAACTAACTTAAAACTAACTTCAGCCCGTGACTAAAGCGCCTTAAAGCCACAACTTGTCTATGTGTATTTAAAAGATCACTTAGTGTCATGGAAACATGTACGATAAAGGGCGTTTTAAAGGTGGGTGTAAAAAAATAATATTATACGCTTACCTGAATGTATTTATCACTTTATTGACCAAAACACAAAAACAGACGAGAATGAGTGGAATAAAGTTTTCTATATATCATCTTATATTTTTTGAACATGTACGATGATTCTCAAAAATAG